CCTGTGTATCTGTGTGCCCCAGGGCCCCTTCACAGGGAAGTGGGGGGGAAGACAAAAACCCAGAAAATATATGAAAGATATAGGAAGTCGGGCTATTTGTGTTTGTGTGTCTGTGTGCCCCAGGGCCCCTTCATAGGGAAGTGGGGGGGAAGACAAAAACCCAGAATATATATATATATATGAAAGATATAGGAGGTCGGGCTATCTGTGTTTGTGTGTGTCTGTGTGCCCCGGGGCCCCTTCACAGGGGCTCGGCGGCCGGGCGGCCCTCGCAGCGGGCGGGAAGCGCGAGGGGCCGCCCCCGGCTTCGGGATTTGCCGGGCGGGGAGGGCCCGGGTCTCCGGCGTGGATGCCTCGATCTCGGCCTCGCTCTCGAAGCGGCGGTGGGACCCGTGGATCGGGAGGGAAAAAAACACACAGGCACAGTACATCGTCGATTCCCCCGAACATACGGGAGAATATAGGAAAATGGGGGGGAAGACAAAAACCCGGAAAAGATGGGGAAATATGGGGAGTGTTTTTTTTTGTGTGTGTGTGTGTTTATGTGTGTGTGTTTTTATGTGTGTGTATTATTTGTGTGTCCTGGGGCCCCTTCAGTGAAGACCGGGCGCGGAGGCGCGCCGAGGGGGAAGCGAGAGGGGGCAGGCCTCCTCGGGAGGCGGCGGGGCGCCTCGGGAGCCCTCTGGCCTTCTTTCCAGAGGGCCGAGGAGGAGGAGGAGGAGGAGGAGGAGGAGGAGGAGGAGGAGGAGGAGGAGGAGGAGGGGGAGGGGAGGAGGAGAGGGAGGAGAGGAGGAGGAGGAGGGAGGAGGAGGAGGAGAGGAGTAGGAGGAGGAGGAGAGGATGAGGAGGGGGAGTGCCGGGGGAGGGGGAGAGGGGAGGAGGAGGAGGAGGAGGACGGAGGAGGAGGAGGAGGAGGAGGAGGAGGAGGAGTAGGAGGAACGAGGAGGTGGAGGAGGAGGAGGAGGAGGAACGGAGGAGGGGAGGAGGAGGAGGAGGAGGAGGAGGAGAACGAGGAGGGAAACGAGGAGTGGGAGGATGATGAGGAGGAGGAGGAGGAGGAGGAGGAGGGTGAGGAGATCTCCCTCGATCCGCCCAGCGATCCCGATTTTTTCAATCCGGCGTTTCTCCTCGATCTCGGCCTCCAGGGCCCGCTGGGGGGCCCCCGGGGGCCAGCAGAAGCGGATCCGGGACGACAGCGGAGGAGGAGGAGGAGGAGGGAGAGGAGGAGAGGAGGAGGAGGAGGGGGAGAGGAGGGAGGGGGAGGAGGGAGGAGGAGGGGAGGTAGGAGGAGGAGGAGGAGGAGGAGGAGGAGGAGGAGGGGGAGGGGGAGGAGATCTCCCTCGAACCGCCCAGCGATCCCGATTTTTTCAATCCGGCGTTTCTCCTCGATCTCGGCCTCCAGGGCCCGCTGGGGGGCCCCCGGGGGCCAGCAGAAGCGGATCCGGGACGACAGCCCCCCCCCAGGGGGAAGGGGCTGGGGCCTCTGGGGTTCTGGCAGGACTCGTTTCGCTTCCCTCGAGTCGATTCGATTCCACTTCGATGGCTTCCGATTCCGATTCGATTCGATTTGGGATTCCGCTTTTTGGGGCGCCGACTTCTCACTGGAGGGCTGCTAGCCTGCCGATTTCGGCCGATTCGACTTTTCCCGACTCGGCTGCCGATTTCCGCCGATCCGATTAATTTCGATCGCCGATCCGACTTACCGATTCGATTTTGGGCTCTCCTGGCTAATTATGGTGTTCCAACCTACTTTAGCGTTGATCACCAGAAAGAGCTTCGAGCGCCAAAGACAGTGCCGAAGCACGAGGGTTTTCGCGTGTCGGGCCCTGGGAGACACTCGCCCGACACTGCTTCGACACTGTTTCGACACTTTTCTGGGTGCTCGAAATTACTTCTGGGACGTAGTCCTTCAGTACAGTGCCGATTTTAATACATGTTCCGCGTGCGGATCATGTATTAAGGATGCAGGGATCTAGCATTAAAAACAACGATGAATTCATGCATAAAGTTATTCATACATTAATCATGTGCTTAAAACATGTATAAAACAAATACAATGTCTTAAAAACTTCCCAGTAGGATGGGAACAACATAACCCCAGGGGAGGGGGCTGGGGCCTCTGGGGCCGCGGATGGAAGAGGTCATGTCGGAGGATGTCCGGGGACTCCGTTCTGGAGCGCTCCGAGGGCGTTCTGGAGCGCTCTGACGGCGCTCGATGCGTCCTCCAGGGCCGCGAGATCTCAGAGATGCTCCTCGTCCTAGCTTCGTCCTGCTTCGGGATGGGTGCCCAGCTGTGCTTCGTGTTTTTGGGGCTCTCCTCCACCCTACAGTCGGGGCCCTGAAGAAGGAACCCTTTTCGTTGGGGAGGGGCTCCGCGTTCCTTAGGTGTTTCGCAGCTTGCCTCAGGTTGTCCTTATGTTTTCGTTCGGAAATCGAAGCTTAACTCATGGACAAAAGGGGCCCCGTTCCTTATTCAGGGTTCCTCAGGTCCACGCCCCAG